TCTTAAATGATGTACGCCCAAGGGAAATTTATTTAAATATGCTCATGTTGTATTTACTTTGCTTACGAATGAGAGAATTGTTATTCAGTTCTACGAGTTGAATATATGAGTTTTTTTCCGCATGTTATCTCTAAAATTAAATTACGTTAATGAATTTGGTAATACCTCGAGTAAATAAAAGTGGGGCGTGACATGATGTGCAAAAGTGTTGAGGGAGGTGGTGTATTTATAGGAAAAAAGAAGTAGTGAAAGGTCCGAAATGTCCATTGGTTAAAGTTGAATGGAATGAGCTTGTATTTAGTTGAATTGCAATGGAATGAGGGTTGATTAGAGGGTTAAGTGTGATTTGGTTAGACTTAAATCTGGCTTAGTTGGTTTAGAACTAGATTATACATTAGTACAAGACAAACTTTCTTAATTTAGGGGTCCTTGGTCAAATTCTTCCTTGAATTCATGCTTGATGCTCCCATAGTACATTACATATATACAATCAAGGGGTGGTTGGCCACGTGAGAGGGATTTTTTTTAAAAGAAAAAATTATTTTGTTTACTAATTCACATATATAATGTAGATATTTTGTATACAAAAATATTTGATAAGACAAGGAACAACTATGTGTGTATATATATAAGTACTTGAATTGGGGTTGAAGTGAAATTCTAATAAAGTGTGAGGAACTGATCTCAATTTATGAATGAGAATACCTATTTTAACTGTATTTTAAAAGATGAATAATCGAACGAAAGTGATGAAAATCAGAAACTAGGGTTTAGAGTGATTAATCTAGAATTAGGGAGTTAAATAATTAATATTAGAGTGCTAGAAATGATTACTAAGTTACGGGGATTGATTAGGGCTTATACAGATTCGCCAATGATGTGTTTTCGATTTTAGGGTTAAACTTGTGATAAAGTGAAAATTTAGGGGTCATAATCGTAATAATCTCAAGGTTAGGGTTTCAAAAGAAATTACAATAATTGGGGTCTCTACACCACCCATGCTTACTACACACTATAAACTAAATATAAGAAATAATATGTCATCCCAAACCTAACCTAGCTTGTCATCAGGCTAATCCAACTATCCCTAAAACAACTAATAATTTTGAAAATCACTCTTAGATTTCGTAAGGCCTTCTTCTAAATTGTCAGTTATTTGCCATTTTGGAGGTGCCATGGCCCCTTGGTCTCCTTCCATATGGATCTAGGATTATCACTATAGGGGTGTGAAAATATGTTTGGGGGAACAAATCCTTATAATTTTTAATTATTTTAAATTTTCTAGTATAATATATGATATTTTTTAACCAAATGATCCCATGCATCTATGATATATTGAACCAAATGTACAAACAGAATGGCAATGCATTGCATCCAATCACCAAAGTCCAATATTATTGAGGACAAATAATCATAAATAATAGGCAAATCATACATAATAGGCAAACAAGCACTGCATCTTGATTAAAATAGCTTAACCATATAGCAGAACATTGGTGTCAGGTAGTGCCTAAATTTGCTAGAGTATTTCAGTAGTAGAATTCTTACAATGACTCTCAATATTCTAATTCTTCTTTGAATAGTATTTGTAATTGTGACAAAACATCGTTGTATTCATTATTTTCTTGTTAAGCTTATGTTCATTGTCAAATGATCAGTAATTCTTTTAACCCCATATGCATTATGTTGTTGTATGATGACTCTACTCACGAGACATTCTCTCACAGATATTTAAAGTTCTGCTCATAAAAACTATAGAGGTGCAACTAAACAGCATGAATATTAGGAAAGCAAAGGGTCATACTGGTGACAAGATACCCATTTTCACCACCAAAATGTTGCTTACAAGCAGCAAATTTACCGTTGCTTATTTACTTTATTCTTACAATGTAACTAGTGCTAACAACTGCTTTGGGGCCTCTGCGACTGCCATCACCATATTTATTGCCCATTCCTACTACTTTGCCCATCTGGTCACTCTTATGATGCTTTTGTTGTTGTTGTTGTTGTCGTCGTTCTTCTTCTTCTTCTTCTTCTTCTTCTTCTTCTACATCTGTAAACCATACAAATCAGTAAAACACATCAAAAGGTTAGAAATATTTTTTTTTTCCTGTTTACCTTTGTACTTTTTTTTATATTTATTTTGGATTTTAGTAAGCTTAGTTAGCAAGAAAAGTATCCATAATTTTACTCAAAAAAAATATGTGATTCAGATTCGACTCTTTTATAGTTTTTAATGCTAAATGTAAGAATCTACAAGACAGACCTGTAGTTTTTGTGGAGGCTTGAAGTACGTATTTATGCCAACCTGAGCAAGGTAATGGAGCAAAAATATAATCTTTCGACAATGCTTGATTGCTGAGGATGTATGTTCCTGTCCTCACTAGATGTAATGATTCTGGACAATTAAAAGGGTAAGCCTTGTCTTGAGCACTGGCCTGGTTTTGTTCTTCCTCATATACCACATCAACTCCAAACTCTTTTAACTCAAACACTGTCCCCACAGTTACTGAAACATTCACTTCATCGCCACCTTCCAGTTGATTCCCAACGCTCCAATGGCTTAGCCATATCATATCTTCATTAGTTTCAGGGAAGCCAATACATGTTGGGCCGTATTTCAAGTTTAGAGACTTGCTTCTGGTACTAATTTCAACATGTAATAATGGTTGATGACGATCCCCAGGGCATGCCTTATTAGCCTCCTCACCGTAAAAAAGTGCATATACTGAACACACATTCAGGCCTCGGATCCTTAGATTGTGCGGTGATGGCACAATAAAAGATATTGGGGATCCTATGCTTTTGTTGCTATACCAGCCTGGAACCTCTCTCCCTGGAAAAAATGTGTTGAATACAACATCGAACTCATACAAACCCTGCATTATGGAACTCATAATTTTTACAATCCATTGCATTATATTACGTGTCATGTTGCTACAAGCCATTGATCATTTAAAAACAATTGTTGATGATAAATCAAAAGTTACCTCAAATCGTTTGATAAAATAGAGTTCATTGCAAATTATGCATGGCACACACATCAAATCTATTCATACTTGTTAAACAAAATATGTATTGTGTATAATTATTTTCATGAAATATCATGTGCATATCCATTGTATTTTATATTTGAACTTTCAATTATGTCTAGTTAGTCTAATAAACTTGACTAGAATGATTTCTTGTTCTTTTTTGTACTTTGCAAGCTAATTGGTTCTTTGTTATCTGTATTCTTGTCATTGGTATCACCTTTTCAAACACCTAGCTAATGAAGGTGTTATATATACCTGAGCTGAACAAGATACACTAGCAAACCCCTTAATCACTCATTCCATTCTTTCAGCGGGCGATTGTTCATTGAAGCCATGAACACATCAAATATTATAGGCATTCCGTGGAGTATCAATCTCATTTCAAGACGAGGTCAATTGTGACTGGACCTACCCATGGGCCGGCGAATGAACAAGAGTTTGTAAGGTAGAGTTACGCATCCTTGGTACTAAGAATTGTCCATCGTCAAACTATTATCTTGTAATTCTTTCTTGAGTGGTGGATTTGCTAATTGTCATTGTGCCTATGGTTTTTCGTAAGGTTTCCACATAAATTGGTGTGTCCTTGTAGTGAATGTTTTGCTTGCTCTTCTTGCTTTGCTCATTTTTTTCCTTCTCTTCTTCTAATTGGTTAGTATATTTGAATTAAGTATAGCCTATGTTCCCTTTCTAGGCTAGTTGAAGCCTCTTCCAGAGTGTTTTACAGCCAATATCATTGTATTGAAGAAAGCAACAATTTTGGTCATACCAGAGAAGAGCTAGTAGGTTCTCTTTAAACCAATGAGCTGGGCATGTATCTATAAAGAAATCAAAGAATATTGCACTTAAAAGATGTTAAAGAGGATACAATTGAGTTTGAAGATGAAGAGTTTGTAAGGATGACCTTGCCTTTTTTGCTATGAAATTTAGAAATTTTCTTAAGTTCAAGAAAGGGCAATGTTTTTATACAGCCTAGGGAACTGACACTTAAATTCTATCAGCCTTGGTGTTGGGGGTGTTTTTATTTCCTTTGTTTTTTTGTTTTTTGGGTTGGTTTCTCTACAGCCTTGATGTAGTTCTAGTGGATGATTGGCTTGCTTTCTGGTCCTGACCTAGTTGGTATCGTCTAGTTTGCTTTAATGCTTAGGCACTTGCCTCCCTTTATTGATGTTCATCTCTGTATTCTGTACATCTGATTTTCATCAATATAGTTTCTTTTGCTGATAAAATAAAAAATAAAAAATCTACCAAAACAATAGTGACAGGAAGTCACAATCGGGGGAAGGTAAAAGGTCTTAGGTAGTGTTTGGTTATGTGAGCTATTCATGATATATATATATATAGAGAGAGAGAGAGAGAGGGAAAGGGGGGGAGAGAGAGAGAGAGGGAGAGCACCTGGATGGGATGCTTGGCTATATTAAGTAATGTACCATTTAGTAAGTACACCTCAGTGTGGATGGGCATGGCCTCCAAATTGAATAAACCCAAGTTTTTGATCATTTCCATTTCAACCTTTCCTATAGGTTGCAACTTGAATAAGCCTTGGACCTCAACCAGCTTATCACATTTAGTATGTTCAATTTGTGAGCGAAACATATTCGATTGATATGTTATTTTCTCCAGTGATGTACAATGCCCCACAAACAAATTTTCAACACTTTGTAGGCCTAGAAGTGATTGAAGCCTTGTACATGAATTTAACTGAAGTGTCTGAAGCCCAAACAGATCTTTGATGCAATCTGGTAGAGTACAAATCGGGTTTTTGCTCAGATTCAAGTTTTGCAACAAGGGAAGGTTATTAAAATCCCTTGGAAAAGCATCGTCTGATAAATTGCAGTCCACAAGACTTAGGTTTACTAAGAACTGAGGTAAAGAAACCCATGAAATTTCTGGAGTTTTTCTCGGTTTTGGTAGCGTTGGGCAGACAAATGCATACCATGGTTTGACCTCCCCAATTGTAGAGAGTAGCTAATCTATGGCAGTTTCATCTGCATGAAGCACTTTTAGAGATTCCATCTTCCCCATATCCGGTGGCAACTTGTCAAGATTTGAGCAACCAGAAATAATAAGTTTTTCAAGAGATTTGAGCATAACAATGTTTCTCGGTAGCTTCCTCAGTTTTTTGCAATCTTTTGCATTCAAGAGAGCAAGTCTCTCTAGGTTCCCAATGGATTCGTGAATCTTAAAAAGACTAGTACAATCTTTAAGAATCAACCTCTCTAGATTGGGGAGTAGCGAGAAGTCAGGAGTTTTTGTAAGGCTGTGGGAATGGCTGAGATTAAGGGTTTTTAATAGGCCAAGAAACTGCAAAAGAAGGACAAGGTGGTGTTAACCTCATTTTATTATCAACAAACCCAAATAATTGGAAAAATAATCAAAAATTAATAAAATAAAGAAACAAAAATGTCATACCTTGGTTCCCTTCCAAACTCGTTCCAATTTGCTATAACGCATGTCAAGCTCAACCAAGCTATCTAGAGGAAAATCTTTGGGAATGAATTTTGAAGGGAATCCATGGCAACACAACCATCTTAATCCTTTAGGAAATTCCGCATAACTTCCGTTGAGTTGTACATAATTTAGTTGCAGTAGTCTTAATTTTTGCATTCTTGCAAATGCATCAGTTTTGAAGCCTACATCATTTGCATTTCTTTGCTCAGTGCTTGTTGGGTGCAAGGAGAGGAAGCCAAAATGACGTCGGTTTAGTGCATTTTCTTGATCCACCGATGATTTGTCAAAGAAGTACTCTTTGAAGTGGCTTAGATTTGAAATATTTGCACGAAGAATTAACTTTGAAGACTTGCTTTCCCTTAACATATGCATGTCAAGGACAAGGCCTTCTATTGTTTCAGTGCCCTGTTGACGTAAAAAAAACGACGAAAATACCACAGATAAGTACGTATCAACACAAATATGAGATAGTATTCATATACACAAGTAGCATGCTACTTACAGTTTTTTCTCTTAATACATTGAAGGAATCTTTACGATGCCATAATCTGCTACGTTTCCCAGGCTCCTTAGGTGATTCATGGCGAATAATTTCTCTTCCCATATCTCGAAGCAATTGATGCATCATCAGCTTGTTACTTTTATCAATTGTAATAAGACATCTATCAATGAGATTTTGAATACCAATCGTTGTGTAGAAATCACATTCATCTAGTATTCTTATCAAGCAATCTTTGTCCTTCCCAACGAAGAAGCAAGCAATATGTAGGAATAAATTTTTGTCATGATCATCTTGTAAGGAGTCGTAGCTTATTTTGAGTTTTTTCACAATTTGACTTTCAGGAATTGCATCTAATTTCTCCATTGCACTTTCCCAAACATGTGAACTTTTCCCAGACATAGATGAACCCAAAACTTGAAGAGCTAGTGGAAGTCCTCCACAGTATTGTATTACCCTTTTCGAGTGCTCAATGAAGCCTTCCATAGGATGGTCTTGTCCAAAAGCATGCCAACTGAAGAGCTCAAACGATTCAGCTTCATCAAAATTTTCAACCTTATACACCTCATGAGCTTTGTGAGCTTGCATTAATCGCTCATGTCTAGTTGTTATCATGATTTTACTTCCGGGATGAAGCCAATCCTTAAATCCAATTACTGCATCTAATTGGTCCAATTGATCTACATCATCAAGAACAACAAGAACTCTTTTACATGACATGGCTTCCATTATCTTAATATTTCCTTCATCAACATTATGTATGTTTTCTTTTTTCCTCTTGGAAATGTCCGAAAGTAGTTGTCTTTGTAAACGAACTAATCCGTTTGGTTGCTCTGAAACTTCTCTGATATTTGCAAGAAAACTACTACTTTCAAATCTTTTGTAATTTAAATTATACACAAATTTGGCGATAGTTGTCTTCCCTATCCCGCCCATTCCACAAATTACAAGCACACCGGCATTAGTAGATTCATCTTGTAACCATGAGTTAATGCTCGTGACTCGAGAATGCATTCCAATTAGGGAAGGTGCGTCGCTCAAAATCTTGCGGTTCAACTTGTCTTCAATGACTTTAACAATTTTATGAATAAATTTTGACTCACGCCTAAAATTGCAATCACAATATGCATGTTAAGATTTGAGGTAAATTAAAACTATAATGTGCAAATTAGTAACAAATAAATTAATGGATAAATAACACCATTAGTTGATGTAGTTTAAGTGAAGTGTCATTTTAGTCTCTTAATTTTAATTCAAAAAATGGGTTCAATGTTTTAAAAACCGGACCGGTGAGCAAACCGAAAAATAGATCGAGTGGATGGGTCACCAGTTCAACCGTCGGGTTGAACCGGAATCGAACCGTGATGCAATAAATATATTAAAATTATATTTAAATAAAAATATAAGTAATAAAATTATAAATTAAAAATATTAAATTATCTTAAATATTTGTCCTAATATTTTTTTTATTGAAAAATATAATAATATATTTTAAAATATTATTAATTTTAATTTTGGAAGAAGAAATCAAATATTTAATATTCCCTCCATATGATTTTAATTCAAATAATTTGATTGAAAGAAGAGCAAAAATTTTGGAGGGATATCAAAATTTCAATATTCCCTCCAATACATTTGATTGAATCCTACATGGATTTCTTGAGTTTTTTTGAAAGAATTTTTTCTTATAAATAGGTGGAGATTTACACAATAATTTCAAGCTCCTAAATGGGATTCCTCACAAGAGGAGACCCTTGAAAGAGAGTTTCGAATTAAAATTTTCTTATATTCTTATATATTATATGTATATGTATGTATATATATAAAATAAGAAAGAAAGAGAGAAAAAAAAAATTAGCAGAAATCAAAAAACATATATATATTCCAAAAACATATATATATTCTAAATAGGTCAGTTTTTAATTTCAAACGGTTTATAGGGTATATCCGGACTGGAACCCCAACCAGTCGACGGTTCAACCAGCCGGTCCGGTCTGGTCCGATCCATTATGGGTTTACATATTTTCAATTTTGTTATAATATAGTTTTTTCGTCACTTACTGTTAGAATTTTGAATGGAAAAAGATCACGTGCAAAACTGGATTGTAAGAATTCGGAATATAAAAAAACCATGTGTAAAATTAGATGGACCAAAGTGAAATTCAAAACAAATTTATTACACCTATGGTTCCTATTATTTGTTTTGAATTCCACTTTAGTTCCTTCAGTTTTGCGCTTGATTTTTTTCGGTTCAAAATGTTAGCAATGCATGATGGAGGGATCACATTATAACAAAATTAAAATTGTAAGAACCAAATTATTTAAATTGAAATTATAAGAATAAAAATGAAATTTTGTTCAAACTAGAGGGATCAATAGTACAATTTATCCCAAATTAATTCACTGCCAGGTAACTGGTCAATATAAAATTCAAAAAAAAAAAAAGGTTAAATAACCAAGAAAAATAAATAAAAATAGTAACACATTCCAAAAAGATTTAACCAATATGCTAACATTATAGTATATATATACATATATTCTATTATATACAGTGCACAACTCAAAAATTTTGTCATTTATTTTTTTCTGCTTTGCAATATATAGTCTTAAAATTGGTAAATGCTAGACCTTCGCATTTAGTAATTGTTAAATAGTTTTCTAATTCAATCTCATTCATTAAACTACCCCAAAGTTTAGACGTATGATTGTTTGCATTACATTTTATTTTTCTGTAGATTATGGCCTGATTGATTATAACCAAGTTCGATTATGGTCTGTCGATTAATACCATAGACTATTTTTAAAAATAAACTTGGCCACATTTTTTATTATTATTATTATTATTATTATTATTATTATATGTTGACAAGCATGCTAACGTGGCGTGATAGATGTGTTAAGAAAATGGCATGATGACATGTTAAATGGAGGGCTAGAAAGTTAGCAATTGCAGTAATTTGAAGTTAGTTGCTAAGATGAAGGAGCCAAGCTTAAATCAAGCACCAAATCTGCAACATGATTCCTATCAAATATGGGATATGGTTGAGTGGAGCAAAGATCAAGAAAGATCATGGATTGATGGCTACAACATGAGGTGGCCAAGCAAGTATAAAAAGAAGACTTGAAGAATAAAAAAGGGCATCAACAACCACCAATCACACTCACCAAAAGTTTATTCAGGAGTAGTTTAACTTAGTATTTTAGGAGTAGATTAAAACTAGTAGATTTTTTCTAACTCCCATTTCTCTTCATTTCTTCTGATATTGCTATATTTCTTCAATTTTTTTGTTCTTGTTTAAGTTCTTGTAACTAGTGACAAGTGACAATTCATTCGAATTAATAAATATTCTTTTCTATTCTATCTCTTCTTTTCCTAATTACTTCCAGAAAAGTCTTTAATTTGTTTAAGGTATAGAACTCAACTATAAAGCCTGATTTTTATTTATGTTTACTTAAAAATTGATATATATCTATCGATTGAATTACTATCGATTGGGTTTGAATTAAATTTTTTACCAACAATGATAGTGAACTCATCACGTTTGTACTCACGAACGAATTTAGGATTGGGCTTTTAGAGGGACAAAAACACAAGTAATTTTTAATTGAAAAAAATATTATAAAATTTTAATTCAATTTTTATCAGCACAAATAAATAATAATACTATTAACCAGGCATTTTTTTTATTTTATTTTTGTAAACATAATTGAGTATACAAATATGATTGAACATTTTTTTTTTGTCTATATTAACTTACCAAAAATAGTAACTATTATTATGTCTACTGAAATTAATTATCTGAAAATATTGTGATTGTCACTTTTTATAATACATATATATATATATATATGATAAACTTGATATCAAAATCTTAAGAATATCTTTCCTAATAAATGTGATCAAGTAACTTGTTATAATATTATCTTCTATCTTTTTACACAGTTTAGTTTAAAAAAATTCATAGTTATAAATGCATGTTTCTATGAATAAAATGATAATTCCTTTTAATAAACAATATTAAATTTTGGGGCAAATTATATCATAGTCCCTATATTTTACTACTTGTATCATTTTAGTAATTACAGTTTCAATTGGTTCAATTTTAATCCTTAATTTTAAATTTTGTTTCAATTTGGTTTAATTGATAACGTTGTTAGGATTTTTAACAGATAATTTTCATTGAATTGGTTGATATTAAGTTATTGAATCGATCGAGTTTACAATTTTGTTGCTAAAAGTATAGCACATGCCACTCATGTGTGCATTTGCCATAAAAGATTGCCAACAATTTGACCAATTTGAGATATAAAAAAATTCAGGATCAAAATCGTTCCAATTGAAATTACAGAAACCAAAATGACACAATGATTAAAGTACAAAGATTGTAGTGTAATTTGTCCTAAATTTTATGAGCTCATTTTAAGATTGCAATGATGAATATAGACAATATTTTCATTTCTAGAAAGTATTCTCATTTCTAAAGAATAAACAAATATGGGTAAATTATACTTTTCACCCTTACATTTCGTAGCGAATTACACTTTGATCCCTACACATAAAATTGTAATAGTCATCCCCTTATACTTTCGGTCAAGTGCCAATGTCTTTTTTTTGTTACTCCACCATGGAAGTCTTTAACAGAAATCAGTAATGCGACAAACATATGACTATGAAGTTAGGGCAAACGAGAAAAATCACCCATATTTCCCATCTATATATATTTTGTCGCAAAATTTATATCAAATTATGATTGTATTCGGCTAAAACAAATTACAGATTATGAACAATTAAAGAGATGAATTAGGGTTTTGCAGAAATTGGAATCACAAAGTTATGTTTTCCGCATTAACATGTCTTCTGTCTATTCTTCTTCATTTCTCTTTAATTTCTCTGCTACCTATTTTGAATTTAAAAATTCTATTTTCTTACCTCTTCGTCTCAATTTTCAACATATATATATATATATATATAATATTATATAACTCTTACATGTCTATGTGTGTTGATAGAAAATGTAAATGATTTTTCTCTCTTACTCTTATTTCGTAGTCATATGATTGTCACATGACTGAATTTTGTTAAAGGCTTAAACAATGAAATAACAAAGGGGGACATTAACACTTGACAAAAAGTGCAAGGGGTTGACTGCCACAATTTCATGTGTAGGGATCAAAATGAGATTTGATGTAAAGTGTAATTTACCCAACAAATAATAATAAATGCAAAATAAGGTGCATAGAACAAATTAAAGTATAATTTAATGAAAGAAAAAAAAAACATCAATAACATATCAAAAAAAAAAGAATAATAATAAATAAGTATAAATAGAATAATTCCCATCTAAAAAAAGTGTAACTATAAAATATAAATAACACTAAACAATATAACCTTTCCTAAAAAAAAAAAAAAAAAAAAAAAAAAAAACTAGACAATATAAAAATATAATAAATAATATAAATAACAAATAAAATGGATTAGTATTTTTTTTTATTCAAAAAATGGATTAGTATTTGATAAAACTTGAACCTATATAATTTTAAGTGTGCAAACTACTCAAATTTTAAGGATGCAAAGTATATTAACTTAAAATTGTCTTACCAATTATTAATATAATATAAAAAAATTTAAATTTTTTTGAAAATACGATCATCCCACACCCCCCTAGACTTGTTATACCCAAGTCAATGAGTAATGTTAGGGATACAAAAAACTATTATTAAATTTTTTATCAAATACTTAAAAAAGCATGGTCCAATACTCATGTGATTGGTAAAATTTTTGATAGAATACCGGGGTCTCTTCTAGCATTTTTCACTGTAAATAATATATGTTGAATTTAGCTTGATTCTTGTCTTGTGCGCTTGGGTGCAAGCCTCTGCGTAGGTCGTCGTCAGGATTATTTGAAAATTCTCAACCCATAAAACGGAGTGTTTTACTTGGTTTAGTCCTCTAAACCCTCATTTTAGGTTAGGATTCTTTGAAAATTCTTGACCCGTAAAACGGAGTGTTTTACTTGGTTTAGTCCTCTAAACTCTCATTTTACATCAGGATTCTTTGAAAATTCTTGACCCATAAAACGGAGTGTTTTACTTTGTCTAGTCCTCTAAACTCTCATTTTATGTATGTTTGGGTTTAGATTTGTGGGAAGACCTTTTTAACTTTGGTTCAAAAATTACTGTGAAGGACAACAAACCCAAGATGAATCTAAGCCATAGAGTTTACTTTATATATTGAGTTTTATTTGAATATTCTCCTATTGGTGAATGAGTGAGGTGGTTCCACATATACCTTAGAAAGGTGTAATTTCATGCACTCTTAGAGTGTGTGAAAAAATTTGTACTCTTTTTATTGTTGTGCATGCACCTAACATTTTTACAGAAAACACATAGTGGTTCTTGATGGATCCTTCTAATGACAACGCTAACTAAAAAAGGTTTCAGGGATACTCTGCTCTTTAAACAGTGACTTCTTGGCTTCTTTATGCTTTGCTTTAGGAATCTCAAATGTTTTATTAATATTTCTATTAAATATCTCACATAAATGTGAGATCCACACTATATGAGTTCGATGTGAATCCCATAAAATATTTAATAAAAATATTAATAAAATATTTAGAGTCCTGCCATTACTCTTTGTGCAAACCAACATGCTTTTGATTTTGAGTAATCATTTCCTGGTGGTATTCATACACAATCAACAATCTTTCTATATTGCAATTTTTTAATATTTAGGCCAAGTTTGGGAAGACTAAAAAAGTGCACTTTTTGTCTTTTTGGACTAAAAAATTGAGGTTGAAAATATGGATGTTTGGGTTAACTTTTTGACTTTTTATTGAAAAATGTGTAATAAAAAATTGTAAAAATTGATTTGTAGGGAAAATTTTGAATTGGGAGTTGTGCAGCCGTAATTGTTGACTTTTGGTGAATAGTGTTAACTTTTTAACTTTTTGAGTAACTTTTTGACTTTTTGGCTTTTTTTGAAGTCCCCAAACTTGGCCTTAGTATAGTAGTTGTAAAAAATAAGGTAAATCATAAATATATTTTTTAAAATTTACTTAACATACAAATTGTTTTTTGTAATTTAAAAAATTACAAATATTTTATTATTAAAATATTTTATTTAACGGAATTAACTAAAAAATAAAATTTCTAACTGTTCTAATATATAATAATAAAATTACTTAAATTATTAATTGAAATAAAATTTTAATATCATTAAAAAATGTTAATTGAATTGATTTGATAATTTATTAATAAAATTGGTCATTTGTCTTTAATTTTTTTTTTTAAAAAAAAAAGACGTGACATGTATCTCTTATATAGATAAAATGGATTGATGCTATTACTTATAATGTGAAACAATTAGAGATCATCTCAACATACATTGTGAAATACTGGTGAAATAGAAAATTAGTAAGAGATTTTACAAATGATCTCTAAGGTCATGTTTGATTCAAAAGACTAATAGTGAAGTATTAATAATTCTATTAAATTAGTGTAGGATTCACTATCCAATTGGATTAATATCCATTGGATTAATAATCCCACCCCTACCCCATTACTAATAATCCTATAAATTTGTTGGATTAATTATCCATTGGATTAATAATCCTAAACCAAAATGTTAAAACAAACATGAGATAATTGGGCCCACGGATTAATAATCCTAATCCCATGCTCTAATCCACCCAATCAAACATGCCCTAAGTGTTTCACATTGATAAAAGAAACTTGAATTATAATTGATGGTTTTCTAAGAAACTTGAATTATATGAGTTCTATTTCATAGTTCAAAAATTTTAGAAAAGAATAAAAATAATGACTTGTTAGATTTACTTACATTTTTTATTATGAAATACCATTTACACAATATATAAGAAATTGGACAGACTCCTCTCCATTGGAGAGTTTTGTTGGGCTGTTGTGGGTTCTGATTTGGGTACATTTCGAAAATCTGAACTGCTTAAACATTTACAAATATACATTTCAAAATATTTTTTACACATTTTTCAATACTAACAACAAGGGCTTTATCAAAATACTTCCAACAAGCACAAATAAATAGATTATTATGACAATTTCAAGGACTGGAGAAATAGAAAAAAATACCGTACCCATCGACTTGATTTTGCAAAACCATCCCTCCCAAATCCGCAACTTCTCTAAGTGCAGCCCTCCATTCTTTTACCTTATGCATCCATTCATTGTTTACTACATCATTTTCTGCCTCAATATTCTCATGCCTTGCAAATGCCTCTGCAAAGCCTCCTGTTTGGTTCTTAACTTGAGAAGGATCGACATCGTAGAAGACAGGTAGAACCATATGCTTAGAGGTCCTCTTGCATTCGAGGATCATCAAAAGTTCGTCAAGACACCATCTTGAAGATGCATATTCTTTCGAGAACACAACTACTGAAATCCTTGATGCCCGAATCGCTTTATGCAATTCTAACTTAATATTTTCTCCTCTTTCTATATCATCATCATCTTTGAATGTACGAAATCCTGCCTGCACCAAACTTGTGTAGAGGTGATCAGTGAAGGCCTTGCGGGTGTCTTGGCCTCTGAAACTCAAGAACACGTGATAAGTAGTAGAGATATTGGAGGAGGAGCATTCTTGGCTTTTCATGCTACCCATTGAACAGATTAATGTTCTTTTCTTAGCTATGGTTAAGGATGTTGGAAAAAAATGGTTTTATATAGGCATTTTTTTTAACCCAATTTGGGTGGACCTCAAACGTGTTTTGGGGTGGGTCCGAAAAGGTGAAGTGGTGAAGACGGAACGTCAAAACCATTTATGAGTGAATGGGAAGATGACGTCGTTTTCGGGTTTAACATTAATTTTTTAGATAAAATTCTTTTGAATTTTTTCAATAAAAATTATTGTGGGAATTTAATTTAATTCTAAATTCAAATTTTGAGTTCCTAAGTGGTTTCTTAAAATGTGTAATTTTAGAATTTAATTTAATTCTAAATTCAAATTTTAAGTTCCTAAGTAGTTT